GTGTGAGATATATAAATACATAAGAATTCAATGCTATGCACTGCCCTTGATATAAATTAACAATTGCCACAATAATAGAATTAGTTAATATGCTTGTACAAAGAGGCAGCCTCTCCCAAAAACATTCAAGTTTCCCACATGAAGAAGAATATATCCAAGAAATTTATCCAAGAATGGCGCTATTTTTTTAGTACAAACCTAAGACAACCTATTATAATTTTGAATCCCGTTAAATTCTTAATTAATATAAAAGGGAAAAAGAGCCAAACATAATAAGCCTAATGAACCAACAAGCATATGAAAACCTTTTATGTCCTATTTGAAATTACTGCATCGATACAACAAAAAATTCCACAATTCTAACATTAAAGATTTAAAACCAACTAGCAAAGCTTGTTAGATAAAACTAAGAGCACATGATAGTCCCTCTCATAGCCTTATCTCCCGACGAAGTACTAAAGAGTTCCAACACCAATCCTAAAAACCAGTTAGCATATAGAATAAAATAAAATGTACCACTCATTGAACACTAGCTTTCCCTTTTCCTCTTTCATCTTATTTATTTTCGAATATCCTCTTTCAAGTTTATATCATCCCTCTACTTCACTCATTAACCTGTCCTTTCTGATATCGAAGCCAGATTTTATTCTCATTTAACTCAATCTTTTACCAAAAATTTACTTCGTGGAATTTTAAAATTTTCCTAAAAAAAGTTTACTGTTTGGAATGATTTTCATAGCAAACCAACCAATATAATGATGAGATTTGGACACAGTGGTCTTGATATATTGACTTAATCCTCTATATAGTATAGATTTGGCATTGGAATAGATATCCCAATCTCTTTGAGACAAAAAAAAAAACAATATATCACAACTCTTTCATACTAAGAAAAACGTGCAAATTAAATTGTTTTAAGCCTTGATTGATTCAATCAAATTTCAACTCTAATCACAATTTTTTGTGCATTGTATTTTTTGAGCTATTTCACCTCCATCCTTCTTGTTTTAGAAATTTTCTTAGATTTCACAAGCTTCCAACAATTACGTATAAAATCCAAGTTTATCCATCCACAAATAACCCAATTCAAAAGTTCCTAATCCCTCTAAAATAGCTAAATTTCAGTCAAGTTGCAAACAATACACAAAACTCTCTATTAACCATAACCAGTCTCCATAGTCATATACACCAATCATCACACTTCACCATACTTCTTTCAATACTTATGAAGAATACTTTAAATATTGCTTATGAAGACTACTGTGATTCTGGTCAATTTCTTTTTCTTCCTTTTACAAGGATTCAAACCTTGGAAAATCTACTTTAAATATTAAAATCAATATCATCTACTAAGTAGTTGATTGTCTTTTAATAAAAAAAATTATTCTAGAAATTTCATCGACATAGTTCATATTTATTTTTATTTACAATCCTCTAATGATTTTACCTGTCCCATGATCCCCTTGTCATAATGATTAGCATCATTAGATTTCTAACTAGCAAATCCATATTAATTTTTATTCCTTTCTACTATTGAATCAATTGCACCTCAATTATCTCTACTACATTAGTGAAATCAAATGCCAAAGAACCTAAGAACTTTGACTATAATTTTGATTACATAGCACCTTCAAAGGATGAGCTAGAATTAACGATGCATCTGAGTTATAGAATTCTTCGCCGACTATACGTACAATGGCTTCTCAATTGAATAAAAAAACTGAAAATGAGTTTGTAAAGGAAGGGAATACTACTGGTAACTTAACCTAAGACAAAGATGAATGAACTAAGGTTTGTACCAACTCATCCTCCAAAACCAATTATTGCTCCATTCTTATGACCAATTGATCTCATTTTGTATATTTTAACTATCATCATGATCTCCAAATTTCGTACAAGTTTCTATTAAATTACAAAAGTCAACAAAAACTTCATCAATGATCATGAATTCCTATACTTGCTTCACTATAGCTAGTTCTAACCACATTAAAGATAGATATGAACCACTCTACAGCCTCCCCCTCCATGGCCTCCTCCCTTCCTCATCGAATGAGAGTCTTGTTGGCTAGGGGAATATGTTGAATCATCATAGGCTTGCATGTTTATTTCATGTTATGTTTATGGAATAATTATTCACTTTTATATGTGTCTTTTTTTACATAGCCACTCATATATCATTGTAGTATAATTGGGACTCCTAGAATTCATTATTATTTTGGTTTTAAATTTTATTTTTAAGCTTTATTTCAATTAAGAAAATTTACGCACATTATATACTCTTCGCTCCTATATGGGAGAGGGTTTATTTTATGGAGGAATAAAAATTCTAAAAATAAAAAACCATTGCAAATTTAAATTTTCTCTATTTTTATTTTTATTTTTTTATTTCTATGCTTGTGTAGTGTGTGATAAATATTAAAAAAAAAAAAAACCTATTCCAAATTTCAATTTTCCCCTCCCATGTTTAGGTGCTTGAGTAGTGTGTGATTACCTTGATTGCTATATGCTCCCAACAAGTCATGTTACCTATTAGGATCACTCCATATTATGTGCTAAAAAATTATATAAGATAATTCCTTTCAATGTTTTCCATTTTCCCTTTATCTCCCTTGTTTTTAATCATTCTCATTCCATTCCAAAGTATTCCTTATCTCTCTTTGATCATTTGTATTGAAAGGGACATTTGGCTGGAAATAAGGTGTTTACTGCTGAACCCAATTCCTGAATATTCAATGTTTCATACTTTGGAAGCTTTTGTTTTAGTCAGGAGTCTGAGAAGTGATTATGTTTTACAATAATTGTAGAAATTCTATCCCAAATAAAAAACCTTAGAACTACTTTCTATACATTTCTATTACTTTGCACCTCTTTGCACCCAATAAAATAGAAGCATATTTGCAAGATTTCTAATATAACTGCTATTAAAAGTAGATGTCAGTAGAACCATGAATGCAAAATTAGCAAAGCAAAAGCAAATTAAAGATGCATATAAATTTTCAAACTGAAGTTAACTAGTGCAAGAGCAAATGCTAAGCAAGTGTATGGCATCACTTTTTATTTAGTTTTTAAAACTTTAGGAAAACCTCTTTAATTAATGTTTTTTAAGAATTTTTTTATTTTTTTTTAAATAAATTAAATTAATTTTATAGACATAAAAGAATTTTTAGGTAATTTTTTTATTTTAAAAAAAATGAACCCCTAGCCACCAAACCTTGTGCATAAAATAAGCCAATTATGCATCAACTGCCACCTAACTCTCCAACCAACATCAACCCATGTAGTGCCTTCCGTCGGCCAACCCCGCAACAAAACCTACATCTCTGCCTACTCCACCAACACCTCCATTCACAGTGCCACCACGTCTTTCTAATAATAAAAAGAATCACTTATATAATATACAATTTAAAAAAAAAATCTATACTTAAAGATATCAACAATGTTTTCATTTCAAATAAAAAAAATAGCAAAAAAATAATAAACAAATATAGAAAATGATCCAAATAGTCCCTAAACAAATATACTAAGGCTTTGACAACAAGATTAGTTCTAGTTAAACATATAACAATAATAGATTTAAACTTTCAAGTTTTTTTGGTAAATGGTTCTAAATGGGATTTAAGAAATACTAACTTAAATAATGATAAATAGTAAAAGTGAAGAGCTTAAATATTACAAAATGTAAAATCATTTTCCCCATGTTACCGAAAATCTCAAATTTACAAACTTAAGCATTATATGGATTTAACTTAATCCACCATGTCTCCTATCCCAACAAAATCAAATCATAATCTCCTCTTCTCCTTCACAAGTTGCAAGCCCCATCGATGCCAACCCCCAATGACTCAAGAATTTGGGTAAGAGCAAAAGGAAAGAAGAAAAGGGCGTCATTTTTTACTCGAGCAAAGTTATCAATTGAATCACCACTAAGCCTTCATAGATAGCCAATTTTTAATTAATCGATCTCATAAACAATTAATTTATTATTCTAGATCAAATAAACAATAAGAAGCACTAATAAATGTTTAATATTTTTAAAGGGCATATAAGTATTTACACATCTAAGAACTTAATTTTCGTATTTACATGCATACCACTTAAATCTTTCCCACTACATAAGAAATACCAATATTGCTGACTTTTTAAAAGTGTTATAAATGTAAATATCAAACTTTAGGTGCTAGATATATAAATACATATGAATTATGTGGTATGTACGTAAATTTCTCTATTTTTAATTATATCCTTGGTTAACTTCAAATCAGTCAAATAAATGAATCAATCATTTCTTAAACATTTAACATAGCATTATTGTTATTTTTTTCTTTACAAATTCAGAAAACAACCCTCTTTATTTAATAAATATTTAATGTTCTTAATTATGTACTTGATTAACCAATAATAAGTTTAATTGTTGAAGCATTTATTTCATTTAAATTGATAATAATTATTTTTAATCAATCATTAGTTTTAATTATTTAGTTGAATTACTTTTAAAATAAATTTTATATAGCTAATTATTCATCAACTGCACTCATTATCTAAGTTAATATTATTATCTTCCAAGTTAAATGTTAATTGATTTTCATGTATCAAGTAAGCTCAAAAATCTAACTTCAATCTTTTAAATCAAGTGATCCTCATATTTGCTTATCTGCATTATATATGTTTCTTTAGTATTTTCGAATTAGTTATGCTTAACTTCACACCATCATCGTATTAATTTTCCTTCTGAAGTCATATTCACTTAAATCCTAAATCCAGAAAATAACTTTCAAAGAATTTACTAGAACTATTATGCCAAACAAATTTTCAAACACTCAAAAGATCTACTAAATCCAGATGTATAGTACTTACTATTCCTACTTCTCATCAAACATCCCCTATGAAGCTCATCAGAGATTGGCAAAACATTCAATACATGCCGAAAGCCTGAAACTTAACCTTAAAAGAAAATTAATTGCAATCAGATGTCCAAAATCTTAGTAAAATATAAGCAAAACCTTGAGAGCAGACTCCCAGCGAAGAGCCGTAATCCTCTCATGGAGTGCCTCCAGGACAGTCCGAGGAAGAAGCTTCCTGGAATTGATCGAACCTTTCTTCTCGATGACGGCCTTTGTGGCCTCCCTCCTGAGAATTGCGGAGATGGCCTTCTGCGAAGCTATTTTCCGGTTCACCACCTCCTTCCGCTCTCTCGCCTCCATCTCTCTCTTTCTATCTCTTTTGCTTTCTCCGTTCGATCCTTCGCCGGTTCTTTCGTGCTTGGACTCGGCAGAAGCTCTGAACGGCGCGGGCATTCTAACTATGACCAACATTGCTCTATTCTGCTGGCGAGCTCCAAAGATAGAAGAAGAGTACGAGAGGGGTGAAGAGAAACAGTGCGAGGTTGACAGGGATGAGGTAGAAGAAACGGCCATGCTAGTCGTCGGTGAGCGCCGCAATGCTCCCTTTCCCTCTTTATTTCGCTGGTCAAAAGCGACGAGTGAGGAATCAAATTGAAATTGAAAATATAATTCAATATTAGCAAAAAATTGAAGTCATGTATGCATGTATGTACTGTGTATGTATGCATGTATGTACTGTGTATGTATGCATGTGTATTTATGTATGTATATATATTTGTGTGTGTGAGTGTGTGGGTATATATATATATATTAGTTAGGTTAAACACACACATGACACACATGATTATGGAGTGAAGTGTAAAGAAATCTTCAAAACATTACAACACTATACATGATTACTTCTTATTGTTACTTCTTATTGCAAGGAGAAAGAAAAGAAATTGTGCCTAAAATAGAGTGCACCCATGTTAGGTTAAACCACGCATGGCCACATCGTGGTGGGTTCTCATCGAGTCATTCTAGATATGATGCACTCATGTCAGCTTTGTGGCGGACCCAAGCTAATCTCGTTAAACCAAATTTGGAAGGATTTTTCTTGCCTTTGTGAAGCTTTTCCTATATATATGCTTATAGGGAAATTTCTAGGGCATGATGGATGGTTGGGGGGCATAAAAGAGGGATTTTGGTGAGAAAAACTTCTCTCATAGAGTTTTCTTCCTCTCTTTTGAAATCTCTAGACTATTTTTTTGCTTCCCTTCTTCCACTTTATTCTTGATGTTCTTGAGAGTTTGTGTATGAGAGGGAGTTCTTCTATTTTTGTGGAAGCAATAAGTTTTGATTGTAAGTTTTATAATTATTTATTTCTTGTAATGATGCTTTGCATGGCTTTCTTCTCTATGGTTTTCTCTACTATATGTGGCAAATTCTCTTTCGTGTCTCCATGATGTAGGGTTAGTGGATTTGTTGTAGTTTTTTAGACGTTTTCTATGTAGCATTTTCTAAGCTTTCATGATTCTATGTTGTTAGTGAATCTTCCAGATTTTATTTATTCTTGGTCTGATTAATTAGGATGTTAATATCTTGTATGATCTATGACTTCTACTCATTAAGTAGTGAAATGAATAGATTAACCATAAAATCCTAATAGAATAAACATATTCTAGTAGGTTTCTGCAACCTTCATAGGGGATCAGAAGAATCCTAGGAAATTCCATGAGGTTAAGTTAAGAAAAAATTAACTTCATGGGTTTTTAATTCTTCTTTTGACCTAAGCATGGGCATAAGAAAAAAACATATCCTCAGTTGACAACTATCACATAGGAAAATATTAAAAAAAACCATGAACCCTCACAATAATTGAATCACAAAGGCACGAGTCTCATCACTCTTGAAAAAAACCAAGTTTTTCTCTGCTTTATGTTTTCCATTGTTTGTGATCTTGTTTTTTTTTTTTGTTCGGAATTTGGATTTCAACCCTCTGTTCACACCAAGCTAGGTTCACAAAGTTAGTAAACTAGAGATTTTTTGCTAAAAATATTGGTTAACCCTTTCCTCGTGAGATAAATACGCGGACTCTGATATCGCATATTACTTGACATGTATGCTTGTGTGATTGACCGACTTACTTTGTGGTAAATTTTTTGCATTAATTCTTTGACGTTATTTTAATAATCATTCTAATTTTAAGAGAACTTTAGTTGATAAACATAGAATTTAGGTTTGACACTTTTTTTTTCTGATTAGTTTTCATTAGTTATTATTTTGTACTTGTATTGTTGTTTTGTGTTTTTATTAGTTAGTGATGATATTATATTCATGTTATTCCTTTCTCTTTGAGAGACAAAGCCAAAGTGTGGTTAAATTCTCTTACCCCGGGATCAATCACGACTTGGACCAACCTAGCCTATAAGTTTCTGACAAAGTATTTCCCTCCATCCAATGCTATTAAGCTTATGAATAACATCATCTCATTCATCCAAATCAATGGAGGGTCAATTTATGAGGCTTGGGGGATATTCTTAGAAGGTGCCCACACCATGTCTTACCTGACTGACTAATTATTTAGACCTTTTACAAGGGGTTGATAGGAACCTTGAGGTCCATTATATATGCTGAACCTGGTGGTTTATTGATGTTTAAGCCTTTTGAAGAAGCTTATCAATTGATAAAAGAAATGGCCATAAAAAATTTCCAATGACCTGCTGATGGAGTCACACCCTTGAAAGCTGCCAGTTGACACGCCTAAAAATTATCTACTTTTCATATATATATATATTATGCTTAATTTTAATGATTTTTAATGATATTACACTTTAAAGGAAGTTATTTTGCATATTTTTGATTTAAAATACAAGAAATGGACTTTTGGAGAAAATGAAGCAAAAATGGTGCAATTTGGAGTAAAAACGAGCAAGAAAGAAAATTCTAACTTTGCACATACGACTTTTTAAGCTTAATTTACTTTACATTTCTCATATATTTTTGAATAAAATTACACTTTAAGGAAATGTTGTTTTCATGCTTATTTTTATAGGTATATCTGTTAGGAGCAAAACACAACTAAAATGGGGAGAAATAGAGCTGAAACGGAGCCAAACGGAGCAAAATGGTGGAGCTGCTGCAGAGTGGCACCTGAGGCGCCAGAGACGATATAAGACATATTAAGGCAGTTCGGGACAAATTTTGAGTAGATTTTGAAGGCTCCAAAAGATTTAAACTCCACATGGAGTGATTCAATGCATTTAGACACTTTGGAAGGCTCTTTAATGAATGGATATATCTCTTGAATAAATGAACATGTCTTTTGGGATTCAAAAGGTGTGACTTTTGAAGAGAGTTTGAGAGGGAATTTTGAATTCTTTTTTAAAGGAGGCAACCCCTAATTAAAAAGTAGAGGAGTCTAAAGCATGAGAGTGGCGTGAGAGTGAGAGGAAGGCTTTGGAGAAGAGAAGATTTTCTTTTAGGGTTGTAAGAGGAGAGGGAAGGAGAGAGATTTCTTATTCATTACTTTTCTAGGAGAGAATTGAGTGTGATTGTAAAGAGAGAAAGTGCTTAAAGGGAGCTTCTAGGGATTTGCTTGGGAAGGAGTGTGAGATAAGTTGTGTTCTTTTCTTTCTTTATTTTGTAAACTTGTTTTTATATATGAAATTCATGTTTTGTCGTATCCTTATCATGAATTCTTAGTAGTCTTCTTTATTCTTCTCCCTACAATGAGATTTGGTTTTGTGAAGAATTGTATTCATTTCATACAGTTTTAAATGTCAATAATTTGTGATGATTCAAACTCTGATCTTCATTTACTTTTTGATCTGACCAATTGAAATGTTAAAATGTGCTGAGAAACATATGATCCAAAAGGGCTATAATTTCTACAATATGGTGAGAGTCACATTTGATTTCTTGGGAGAGGTTGTCATCCATGGGATTGTGTGCAAATAAATATGGAAATGTACTTTTTTGGATGCAAAATTGGAGATTTTAAGGTGACAGATTAAAATCCCCAATTTGGTCCAGTTGATTGGAACTAATGCGAGATTGTTAGCCTTCAGGCAAGAGAGTAGTTGGAGCACTAGAGTGGCAGTTGGTATCCTCCTAGCCTTACCACAGAACTATCGATCAAACTCTGGATTAGTCAATGTTCTGTATGCACTTGAAAGAGGGTAAAGAATAGAATTGCTCCTATTTGACACAATACAATTTTATATATAATTTTAAATGATTTTAATTACTTCACTAACCATGTACTTATCGTAAAGGGGAATGATGCTTTCTTAAATTTGAATTCTTCGTCACAAAAACTTTATTTAGTTCTTAATAAATTTAACTTTGAAGTTTAGAAATTAGTTTAATGAACTTAGTTCTTTTAGTTACATTTCTGTTATCATTCATTAAACCCAATTTAACTTGTCTTTCTTACTTTAATTTTTATAGTTTGAAATTTGTGATTTATGTTATTATCATAAGAATTTCCATTTTCCAAACTAAGACTTGATGGTAATAAATTAAAATTAGCCTAAGAGATTTCTTACTACGCTTCTTTGTGGGATCGATACTTACGTGCACTTGCGTAGAACCCTAGTGTGTGAACTATTTTATATATTTTATATAACATTTAAACTTTATAGAAATTGGGTCAAGAATTTGGCCATATTTTTTAAAGTTAAATTATTGCACAAGTTTGGGACAGGTCAAGTTTTTGCATTGTTACTAGGGATTTAAATTGACATAAAACACGCAAAAAAATAGCACACACCAGGGGCACATCAAGTTTTTGGCGTCGTTACCGGGGAAGATTTGGCAATAACTTTAGGAGAATTTTAGTTAAAACTGTAAGACTTAGATTTTAAATTTTTAGCATTATTATATTATGTGTTTAATTATTGTGTGTTTATTTTATAGAAAATCCAAAATACCAAAAATATTTTTGATATTTGTCAAAAATATTTTTGATATAGATATGTATGCGTAGTTCAGGAGCTGCAAACCTTGAATTTTATAAGTCAGATTTAGAGAGAAGTTTTGGGAATTTGGAGAGAACTTTTGAGAGAGAATTGAAAAGACTCCGTGAATTTAATGTAGAAATGGCGGATCAACGATATAATGAATATTCATATTTGGATTATTATGCTAGTAGCTTTAAAAGAGTAAACCCTAAGAGAGTGGAAAATTTTTAAGAAGATATGCTTACAATTTTATTTCCTAAACTTATGTTGCAGATATTCAGAGGAAGTTGGATCAATACATAGAAAAATATCCTTAAGGAACCCCAATTATTCAGAAAAATTCATTTGAGCAATGGATTGAAACTTGCCATGAAATACATATTTCTTATTCTGATTTTTACAACCCAGGTTGGAAAAATCAATTGAATTTTAACAAGAATAATAATTTTGGAGGAGAAAACCAATTTTGGGAAGATATTCAATTTAATCAGACACATGTAATTGGAATAGTCAGAGTGATTTTAATGATGAATTTTCTTTTTCTCATAATTTTAACTTCAACCCCCATAATAAGGAGAAAGATTTATTAGAAGAGGTTGTTATTCAAATGGAGAGTGAGCTGGAGTGTCAAGGGACCGCAATAAGGAATATGGAAAACCAACAGGGGTAGATTATTAACTCAATTAATAATCCC